GTAACTTTACGTTACTGTGTCCCTACTTCCTGCTCACACTTATTATTAGTTACGTCTCATTCGCAACTCAAAGAATGATTAAAACACAAAAATATGTGAATGAAAATGATTCGAAACATGAATTACAGCATTTTTTAGAGTGTAAACTCTAGAATTTACTGAGACACAAAATAAAGAAAAAAGACATAAAAATATAAAATGCAGCATAAAAAACTAGTTAAAAGTAGCAACATATTAATAAACAGTTATGACTAAAGGGAGAATCGTGCAAAAAGAGCGTATGTTTTGTGATTTGCATGCTGCGTTTTCTTGCACTGTCACTTGTTCTTGCACATTTAGCTCTTATCCTGTATTATTTGTAATGTACGTTGTTTCTGCGTAGTAATTTTTGTTGTATCTGATTGATCGTGCACTTTTTGGCCAGGACAGCCACATACACAACAAAACCCCGCAGGAGATTTTTATCATCTGGTTTGTTAAATAAAGGTTAAATTAAAAAATATTTTAAAATAGTTTTAGTATCTTTTTATTTATATATCTCTGTAAAAACAAAACAAGTGTGAACTAAAATGTTTTACAGAAGAAATAAATGTATACACACAAATACATGTGTGTGCCCATTCATTATATTATATAACATTATATTTCCAGCTGTGGGACCTTCAGTCGTCACGGCCTTTTAATGAGAGCAGTTATCATAACTTGTTCTTCTACTTTTTCATGTTGGCTGAAAGTGTTTTGATATTGAACATCTAATATTTTATAGATCTTAACAACTTTTTGAAAAAAAAAAAGATAACCAAACGTATTTAATTTTTGGTTCTCGGCACTCTCACATGCTGTTTTTTTCTTTATTTTTGTTCCCTCACTGGCTTCACTCCCACAGGTCCCAGTGGTACCAATATCATAATAGGTTCGGTTGCTGGTGCAATTCTGCTGGCAGCGATAGTCCTGGGGGGAACTGGCTGGGGATTTAAGTAAGAGCTCTGGCATGCCTCCATCTGTGTGTGCCTGCTGTGTTCCTCTGTCAGCTAACACACATGCCTGTGGCTCGCTGCTGAATGCCCCTCTGCTTGCTGTCTGATCCATACTCACAACCAGAGACCTTGTGGGTTTATTATTAAAGATGGTGGGGGTGCAGTAGATGGTTTTCCATCTGCAGGTTTTGTTAGAGAGGGAGCTTTCAGAAATCTTCATTAGTCCTCTTGGCTCGTAAGCTCTTTGATGACATTTCCATCATGGCATGAGATGAGTGGCAGGAGTTTCACCACATTGCAATATTTATTTCATTTGATAAAAAACTGTACCACTTTGTTTAGTGTGCTGAGGAAGCTGAATTTGTATCATTTGTAATGAAGAGTTTGTTAAATAATTAATAGTTAATTAACAGAAATAGATGAATCTTTTGAGTAATTTTAAGCAAAATTGGCAAAACTTCACTGGCTCCATATTTGGCAACATTCATATTATCTGGTTTTATTGTCTTCTAAGATAGTAAACTGTGTATCCTTGGTTTTGGTCTGTCAGTCAGACAAAAGACGTCATCATGGGATCTGGGGAAACTTGCGATTGTAATTTTTCACTATTTGCTGCCATTTTTTGGACCAAATAATTGTTTAATCCAAAATACAATCAATGCATCAATTGTAAATAATGTAAATAATTATTAGTGCTGTCTTTAAACACAGAGAGTCAAACTGCTTTAAACTCTCACGCCACACAGAACGTCAATAAATAAAGCGTTTGCATACTGCGTATCCTTCAAAGAAATTATTTCAAAAGACTGCAGAAGTCATATAAATTGCTTAAGGTGATGTCACCTTGAGGTTGATCGAGTTGAAGTCTCTAAATTGACAAATAAAAAAAAATAAATAAATAAAAATCTGTTGATGTGGAGTTAGAAAAACATGGGATTAGCAGGCCTCATTTCTGCGTCATTTAGCCACTACTAGCATAACATAGCAAAATCTCTGACAAAACTGACAAAACTGTCAGTGCCCACGCAGAAGAATGTGTGGCAGAAAAAGATTTTTTATTTAAATATCGCGTTTTTAGTCCCTTGTGAGTCTGACGGTCTGGCAATGCTAAAGCGATTTCCTACTGTGCACAACCATATTTAGAGAGAGAGAGAGATAGGTAGGTAGATAGGTAGATAGG